CATGGAGCACTGGGTGTTATGCACAAACAATGAATCATGGAACACTACATCTAAAACTAATGATGTATGGGGCGCCTGGGTGGCTCAGTTGGTTAAAACTAATGATGTAATGTATGGGGATAATATAAGAATTAAAAAATTTAAAAAAAAAATTTGTGGATAAGAATTGAGCAAATATTTTCCATAATACTAAAAGAGAATATCTGCAGAAAGCTGCACTGGTCTTAATATTTACAAAGATCATACCAGAGTATTAATAATTTTCTTGTCATTAATCATTCTCAAGAGTTAAATATCATTTGTCTTAACTACCAAGTCTGTATTAAAATTACTCCAAAGAATAAATATAGAAATATAAATATTTTTCCCCAGGACTTCTTCATTTTGCTCTGAGCACAATTTGTATTTCATCTTCAGGTCCAATTTTTCATTACAAAAGATAACTATGCTTTCAAAGTGAATTGAATTACAAGTCTTTTTTATGACTACATTTCAGTGAGCAGGTAAAGAAAAAGCTATTCAATCTAACTTAAAGTTTCACTTTAGCACTCGGCTAAATAGAAATTTTCAAAGGAAATTCTGCTTAAAGATATGATAAAATACCATATGGTCCTGGCTTCAAGCAAAATTCTATTTCATTTTGTAAGTTGAGCACATGAGCTTACTAGTCAAAGTGAACTTATAAGATCTCTGTAGGCTTTATAAACTGAAGCAAACTAGTTCATTTGAACTGCTATGTATCTCCCTAGCATTTTAAAATGCAAGACAATATATTTATAGAAATAATCATTCTTTATCAGGGAATGCTATTTTACCATGCTCCCACATTAACTTAAAATCTTGAATTTCATAGGATACTTTCATATAAAATGTCAAAGTTCAGGAAAACTTAGACACAAAAAGAAATTTTTGTAACAGTAAAAATTTTGGAATACAGATAATTCGATTTATATTCTCACGCTTTTCAATTCTATTTATCTTAAAATTAGTTTCACAAAATGTTATATGGTTATAATTCATTATCACTGCATAATGTATTTGAGAAATGTCTGGTAACTCTCTTGTTATTAGGTAATTTCACAACTCAAGTATCCTGTTACTGTTTTGATGTTAATAAGCACTTATTAAAAGCTACCCTGAAATTAAGAAAAAAAAAAGCTTTTTCAAAAATATTTATCAAAGCAATGTATGGGTAAGTTAAAAGGTCTGTCTGACTGCATGGCTGATTCCCTAACAAGTAATTCTTTTGTATCAATTCCTATCATCCTGGAAAACACTCTACCCGGTAGGTAATTGCTGTCCATACTACCTAGGGCAAACTAAACTAGAAATTAAAGAAAGCCAACTATAAAGTCCATGTAAAAAAGAAACAAGCAGCTCTTAATCAACTGAGAAATAAATGAGACTGATTAGCTCTTTATGTCCCAGCTGAATGTGTCATTTAAACAAGGACCAAGCTTATTTCATATTCGTTTTCTTCCGGTGGCTGTATATGGATAACAGCTACTGGCAGAATCTGCCTTACAAGTACACATTCTAATGCCACAAGTAGACCATTACAGCATCAAGCCCATACCTTTTAACAAAAGGAAAGTTTTACTGGCAATACTGACAGTGAATGAACTGCAGAGGCTGAAAAGAAAAAGCTCATCGTACAGACACACATACTAACACCTGCACAGAGATAGATTCTAAAAGCACTTTCTAGTATACTGTGCCAGTTATGAATATCTGCAGGGAAAGGCAGACACTGAGTGGCAATCCCCTCCCTCCTTATTCGCCTCTATGCTTGATCACGTACCACCCTTCGCCCTCCACTTCCGCATCTCAGTTCCCAGAAGACTCACAGGACACAAGGCCCATTTCTCACGGGATGATGCTTCAGGATTCTGGGAGCTACTGATGTTATAGGTCATGCCCAGTACACCTGGACCAAAACCACACAAACTTAAGAGTCTTCTACTCTCCAGTCACAAAGAACATGCAAAAAATTCCATAAAAGACAGTTGGCAGGAGTGAATGGGAAACTGATTTTTATGTCGTATATGTTGACAGAAGATCTCTGGTTTCAAAGCAAAGTACACAGTTACTAAAGACTGAGTTCCAAAGTTTACCCCTAGCTAGATCACATTATTTTACATCTGTGATACAAAGCAGATCTCTAAGAAAGGTGAACATATGACCATAAACTTATGCTTGACTACTAACAGTTCTTCCCCTAACTCAGCTAAGCCAGGTTTTCCTGTCTTAAGACAGAAGCAGAATTCAGAGAACAAAGCTTATGTGAAAAAATATCCCATATTAAAAAAAAAAAAAAGAAAAAGAAAAGAAAAAAAAAAATCCCATAATCACTATTCGGGGTGCTACTCAGGCTCTGAAAAGGTACATCCAATGAAATTACTTTTCACCACTGGTACCAGGATGTAATATCATTAAAATTGTTAGAACACACTGAAAAGTTCTGTTACAGTTTCATAAATTCTGCCTGCCGTGGAACAATATCAAAATTTAGTCTTACATAGGCGGACCGTGGTAGAGTATAATATTTATTCAATTTCATCATTTATGATCACTGTTACAACCAAATTAACCCCGACATAAACTCTGACATTTAAAAACACAGAGAACATACTGATTTTTCAGCTATTTTGCTTACATGTACTTTTCAATTCTCATGCAGTGCTCATAATTAGGAGATACTGTACAAAACCCTCTCACTTATGTATTAAGAACCAAGTAGAGAGGGTAAAAAAAATACCAACATAAATTCATTCTCCAAAAACTGCCCATGGATGCATTATCACTGTTCCTTCTAATTATATACTTACAGTGCATTCTTCAGTAAAATGTATAACTGTAGTCACATAACAATACTTATGACAAGGCAATGATATCATTTCAGAAAAAGAATACAACAAATGAGACTAAAAGTTGAAGAGAAGGATCAGAGCATATAAAAGTCATTTGAGAACACCACACGAACTTCAGTGTTTTCCACTTTCCAGTTGGAAAGAACATGCACAAAGATTTCTTAGCAGACAATAGTCAGGAGTGCATGAAAAATTGGCTTTCATGTCATATATGTTGAGAGAAGATCAATGCCATTGAGAAAAAAGAATGTGTTCATTATCTTTTGGGTCTATCTATATCATCTATAGCAGCTAGAAGTTTTTGTCTTGCTTTCTTATTGATATGGGATCCCAGGCAAACATTTACCAGATTGGTCAGCTGCTTCGTTGAATACTCCTGCTCGAGAAAAAAAAAAAAGATCCAAATTTAGTACACTGAAAGACATGTATTTGATCAATGCAAGGAAAGAACAGGCAGATACTCAGTTTTCAGTGGATAGTGACCGAGCACGACAAATCAGTGAAAAGCAGAGGAAATTATAGTTTGAGACATGGAAACAAGTTGTTTACTCAGCCGTAATAATAATAAGGACGCCGCAGGATACATCAAAACAGAAAGGACTAGAATCTCTTCAATATGGCAGAGTAATCTGACATGCCTATGCTTTTGCTACTTTTAAGACCACACACTTTATGCTTGTTTCTGTGACAGTCTTTATTAAGTTATTAAAATATATTGACCTCTCAAAATTTTAAAATGCTACTAAATAGTTATTTTCTGGCACTCTACATTTTGCAAACATTTTAAGTGAAAGGAAAAAAATCTCTAACCATAGAACAACTTTTCTGAAATATGATAAATGAGTAAGGTAACAAAGATCAGAAAGCTACTGGCTTTTAAACCCTCATATTGTCATTATAGCTAGTAAGTAAAATTAAGACTAAATCTTTTATGCTGTACAAATCTATTTGGTTCCTGAATTTCAGATAATGAGTTCCTAGGAAAAGAATGAATAGGGATTCACCAGAAAGGTTTGCATATTGATCTCGTTCTGGAGGATGAATAACAAGAGTTCAGATAAGGAAAAGAGAGAGCTTTATACTATCATCTAAGAAGAAAAGTCATCTGTCTTCACTGGAGGTAACCACCTAAAGATAGCACAATTTCAAAATATGATAAAAAGTTCATTTTAAAAATTCAGCAAACTATTCAGTTTGTGTATCTGAGCTCTGAGAGCACCTGCTAGCATCTGATAAATTCTCTTAATCAGTCAACATTTAACAAGTATCCACTGTCATCAAGCACTGAGCCAGACACTGTCCTGGAAGACAGAATAGTCGGTTCCTGAGAAAATTTCACCGAATTACAAATATCAGCTAGTTAAAGTTCTCACAAAATGCTAAGTTAAAAATTTTGGTGCACTATATTAAAAGAGGAAACCCGAAAATTGGTATCTTTCTTGCATCAAATAATGGATATCTAAGAGCTGTGCTTTTTCTCCTCAGTTACTTGTACTCTTTCCCTAAATACCTTCCTCAGTAGCAACCTTTAAGAGTTTACAGCTTACTTTACTAAATGGATTCCAGCAACATTCAGCAGTCCATCTGTTCCTGGGTTTAGCATTCTGGTTTTCAAATGTCAGAAGTCAATGGGACTAAAAGGGACGACATTTTTCTCAATTCTGGTGTACTGATAAAAATCACTGAAAATAATATGTACATTTCTATTTTGCTTCTAAAGATATGAAACTGACCCATAGTGGGCACATTTCCACAAAATTCAGGCTAATATTCATTTCATTTTTCTAGAGTATCGAAACCAGACTGGATGAGGCTGATAAAGTATAAATAATTCCTTATTTCCTCACCCAGTCAAATGAAATAAAAATTACTTAGCTTTTACCCATGATGTTTATAGCATAAGTAAATGTGATCACTAGAGTTACTGAAGGAATAAAATGAGGTGATAATTTTAATACTTCCCATATTTTCATTAAATCTGTCTTCCCATACTGCCTACCTAGACAAACGATAGAACAATCATATTAGGAAAGCTCCCCATACTGAGCATGCTCTGGTGATAGATGTTGATGTTGAGTTGAACTGTGTCAAAAATTCAGCATCCTAAATAACACTTAATAAATAATACTTTTCTCTACTTATTTTTATAGCCACACAAAAGAAAAATAATCACATCTATACTCAAGGTAAAATCTAATGTAGGAGGAAGTTAAATTTAGCCATTTAAATATTAATATATTCAATCATCACTAATATATGTCAGTGTGGTCAGGATGACAGCAACTCACTGTTGAGAGCTACAAGGTTTAAGTTATATAACAGACGTTAGCTTGTGAATCACTTCAATGTTGCTGTCTTCAATTTGTCTTGATGGTAACCAACTTCAGCCTTCTCCCACAACACAGTTGCAGGATAAACACAGCTAAAGTTCAGACTCTGGCTACCATTCCAGATAATTACTGCTGCAGTTCAGAAAGATCTCAAAAGGATTCGATTACACAAAGGGCACTGCATAGACACAGTGTGAATATGGCAAAGAATCAGCTGATGCTTTATATTTCACTCTCATGATTTTGAATTATATAATACACCAGACAAGAACAGCACAAAGGAAAAGGAATAAAAATTTAACTGTTTTCCAGCTCTCACCCTGTGCTCTTTGATCCAGCGTTCCATGTCATTCTCGGTTAGATAGTAGGCTTTAATATAGGTTTCCACAAATTCTTTATCAGGAATGGGTCTAATATCTGTTAGTTTTTCAAGTTTCATTAAAAACTGTTGAAAATCCAATTGCATTAAGGCACGACCCTCATTACTACACTTCTTGACGTTGGCATATCTAAGATACACAATAATAAAAAACCAGAAATGATGGGATGGAAAAAGAAACCTGTAGGTACTTAAACTCTTCTTTAACCCATATCTGGACAGATTCTTCAGAAACGAGAGGATTCTAGGGAAAAGAGCACAGGAGCCTTGTGTCAGAAGGACTGGGCTGTGTTGGGGCCCTGGCACTCAGCTGTCATTTTACCTACGGGGCCTCAGCTTCCTCATTTGCAAAGCAAAGAGATCTAATAACTTCTGAAGTTCTTTGCAGCTCCACAGACTACAGTTTCCCCCACCCCCAGTCAATTAACAGAATCATCTGTAAGAAAGTTAAACTGGTCTTCCCGTAAATCTGGCTGCCAAGAATTATTTATAAAAATTGAGCTAGGAATACTCCAAACGAATCTTAGTTTCATAAAACTGTTCAATATTGTAACTACTGGATGCAAAGAAACAAAAGCAGTAATTCCCCCCATGGACTGTCAGCTGAAACTAAGAAACGTGTGAGCATATAAGCAAAAAAAAGGATATACATACTTGTCATAAACCTTATAGACTTATTCTGACACCCCTCACTACTAAAAAACTGTGTGTTCTAAGGTGGAGTAGTAATAAGAATGTATTAACCCTAAGAGTACAACATGTTATTACTCAGAAGTCAGTGTCTCATTGCTTCAATAATACAAAATGTGGAGAATCCAACCCTAGGAATGCAGTACGTCCCCCTAAGGAAATTTGCAAGGACACTGAAGAGCGTATTGTTTGAAGTGACCGGGTTTGTTTTTTGTTTTAATAAAAAGTGTTTTGTACAATAATATAACATTATTCACTTTTCTACTTTATTAAACAAATTTATTAAAAATACTCTTCAGTTGTGACTCTTGACACGGAGCCATTCTGTGATTTCCAGCACCGTTGGTTTCAATACAGAGTGCCAAAACTGTTGTCAGCTTGTCACTGTCACCTTCCCACTCTCTAATAACATTCTTCTTTATATCAAAGAAGAACTGAAAAGAAATCAGATAAATGATAGTGTGGAAATTCAACTGATGTGCAATTCCAGACCACTGTGAATGGTCTTTGAGACAGCGGCTTGCTTTCCAAAGACAGTTTATATTCTAGACATAATAAGCTGAGTAAGTGGGAAAATTAGTACTGATATATCTTTAAACTCAACATATGAAAGATTTATACAGTTTACAATGATATAATAATGATACCACTAACAGACATAGTGGTTATGAGGCCTGATTTTGCCATCAGAAGTTCATAAACCTTCTTGGTGTTTGAAAACTGTGTCAACTTGGACAAGTTACTTAATCTCTCTAAACCTTGATTTTTCTGAGGTTTTCTCCTTGATAAAACAGAGAGAGGGCGCCTGGGTGGCTCAGTTGGTTGGGCGACTGCCTTCGGCTCAGGTCATGATCCCAGGGTCCTGGGATCGAGTCCCGCATCGGGCTCCC